TGAAATGCATCAAGTTTTCGGTTGTTCCTTGCTTCATAGCAAAGAACTTTTGATTGGCTTCCCAGAAATCCAAGAAGTCATACTCAGCATCAGCACTCTTCTTCATGAATCGTTCAATACGTTTCAAAAGTTCAATTGGATCTTCAAGAGTAGTCGTGAAATCGGCTTCACCTCGAAGCTTGATATCCATCGCCTTCGTCACAAACTTCAGCATGATGTTTGATTTGACGGTTCTCTTGTTCGTTTCGAAGTAGGCTGATCTTCGCATGTTCTCGTTGAGCTTTTCAGAATAGAGAATCTTGTTTTGAGTCATCTCTGTTTCTCTTGCAAAAGCTTCAGTTTGAGTTGGAGCATTCAATGTTGGAGTGATCGCATTGAAGTCGATTGACTTTCCATCTCGTATTGATTTCACCATGTCTTCGGAACATTTCATTCCAGAAGCTTGGATGTAGTCAATCACTCTTTCTTCGGCATCTTCATACGACGATCTTGCCTTTCCATCGTTTTCATCTTTTGTTGAAAATAGATGTTTCACAACTGTAGAACTCAAATTGCTCTTGACTTTCTGAGGAGTCACACGTCCCTTTCCTCCACCTCACACGTCCCTTTCCTCCACCGGAAGAAGAACGTCCCATAGTCAACGAATCACTCACTCCTTTGTAGATAAGGCAGTGCTGTTCTTGACGTATTTTCTTTTTGTTGCCTTTTGTGATTGAATGTTAGAATAAAGCAAAATGTGCTCTATTGTGAGTGCCTTTAGCGCTCAGAACAAACTCTCTGCAATCTAAATTCGTAATCAACTGTACAACACTTTCACGACAATAGTTCTCCTGTGTCTAGGTATACTTTGAGTGAAATTGTTCCTATTTGATTAATGTTTGGCTTGAATTGATGATTCAATCACAAAAGTGAGTTCAACGATTTTCCCTTGGAAAATCCCTTGTTTACAGAACTCGATTTGACTTCTACGACAATTCTGTGTTGAATGCAGTACTTTGGGACATCTTGCATTATTCCCTACTGCATCGTACACAACATCAATATTCCACTTGTACAGGATCTTTTCCTTTTTGTGTGGATACAGATTGTCCGACAGACTTGCGTCCGGCAGACTTGTGTCGAATCCCGACATCACGATCAAAGTCCGATCGCACATGTCGAAAACCTTACACTTGAATAGTTTCTTTTGGAACGTAAAAACTCATATTTCGTCATATCCCAACAAGTTTCTTTTGGAACGTATTTTGTCATATCCCAGCACTCAGCGGTTTCTGAAGGGTTTTGCTTGATGCTGCGCTTGATGGCAGGATTATCCTTTGTCAGAGCAATCGACGGTTAAGTGGTCGAATTTGATCCGGTTTTTGCCTTAAGACCTCCCTACAGTTGTGATCAAATTTGGATCCCTCTCTGGCGGTTTGATGATGTTATCCTTCATGATAAAGTAAATTTCTTTCCTGTTTCAGCAACATCAACTGTTTTCCTTTACGTAGGAAACGCGTAGGACTGGTACAGTTTTGTTTTGGTGCTGTGCATGGAAAAATATTTTCTACCTTTTAGTTTTTGATTTTTGATTTTTGATTTTTATCCACTACAAGCCATTAATTTAGCTTAGAGAATGCTAAGTCATCAGCGTTCTGCGATAATTCTAGAGATTTGCGTGGAAAAGTGATCAACGATCGCTTTTCTCACTGCACGTTTTTTACCTGAATTGATCTTTATCTTCTTGTGAAATAGCAGTTGCACTATAGGCTTTAAGTCTATTCATCTATCTTCATTTATTTCTGTCAGCCCTGTAGAACGTGGAAGCAGATTGGTGGCAACCACCAAACCGAATTGTCAAGCGCTACAGCATGAGGTGACCAATATTCCCACTGGTAGAAACTTATTTTTCAATCTTCTAGTTATATGATAGGTTAATCTGTATCGTTTCAGTGTCACTTATAGTAGCAGCATGCCCCTGTAAGAAACTGATAACAGTTGCCATAGTTGCTAGTAGTAGGTAGTCACTTCACCTTTGGAATCTATTCATTCATATAAAATTCAGTTTCAAAAATCAAAAAACAAAAATCACGCATTTTGCAAAAACAAAAAGTCATCTTCTCTAGTACTTTATCTACGCAATGACCGTGTAGCGACACCGGTTTTGCTGTTAAAAGTGCTTGATTGAGGACTTCAACCATGGGCTCTGATGATGATCAATCAGATGAGATGGCTCTGAACTTGACAAAGGCTGCAACTGATCAAGGTCAGGGAGGCCTGGAGGAAAAAACCCGTTCAAATTCGACCACCCAACTGACGGTTGACTTGGTAAAGGATGATCCCAGCGATGACCCAATGGAACTGTTTGAAACCGTTTGGCATGCTTTGATACCTCCCAAGAGCGGACACAAGCAACCCCCTCCTTCCAAAATCGCCGAGGATGGCGCACTGAAAGGACAGCCGCTTGTTGCCTCTCCCAAGAAACTCAATCCAAGCAATGACCCCATGGAATTTGTTGAAATTGTTTGGCATGCTTTGACAACGGCGTTTCCACCAACCATTGATCATTCTTTGGACAGATTCTCAATTGGATGGTCCACAAAACAAGGTCGGACCCAGAACAAAATTTTCAACTATTTACACACAACAACAATCCTATTTTATGATGTCTGCGCTGCCCATCAGAAGTGGCCAACAACCATGGGCTCGAATGAAGCAAAATCACAAGAGACGGCTTTGAAATCGACAAGGACTGCACCTGAGCACGCTCAGGAAGGTCTGGAGGCAACAACCCGCTCGAATTCTACCACCCTATTGACGGTTGACCTGGTGAAGGACAACCCCAATGCTTGCATTTCCTCCATGTTGTACAGCATATTTGTCTTGTTTCTTTCTCTGGAAAAGATACAGCAGACCGATTTTCTTGGTCTACCCTTCCAAATCCCCACCAACAGAGTGGGAGCGCCAATCTGCCCATTGACAGATGACTTGAGAGAATTGCATTCAATTCTTTCCTTGGAAAAGGTACCCACAAAATTCCTCTGTATCCCAGGAGAAATCCTTGCATCTTGTTTGTACTCCCCCACCAACAGTGGGAGCGCCGATTTGTCCCCTGACATGATCGACTAGAGCAAATTTTTTCTTGAAAAATGCCTCAACGTGGTTCAAACTTATCTGACTAAAAGCAGCATAGTTCCTGGCCTCTACAGCCGTATTACACCGGCAGTTGGATACTCTAGAAGTAGCATAAAAACCAATTAATGATTCAGTTATATATATTGGAATCTATTCATTGTCTCGATTCCGTTCACCAAGACATTGTTGATTGTTTTCTTGTCAGAATAAACCAATCCCCTATGACCATACGGTAGTAAACTGTCTTAGTGCGGCCTTATGGTGGCAACTTGGCCATCAAGCAAGGAATGCAGCAAGGGCTTGCCTCTGTTTTTGCCTTTGAATCTTACTAAAGAAACGGTTGATTATTGCATGTCTTCAATCATGTAATACACATGTAGTCTCTTTGGCAACGAGCTCGAGCCTGGAGTTGGTCCTTCCTCATCTTTCTTGGTTCCCAAAATATTGAGTCCATTGACAACGTAAAATCTGACTACCATCATCAATTACGTCAACTTCTACGCAGCATATCTTGAAATATCCCAGGACCGTGTGGCAAATTCGGATATTTATCGCAACCGCCCAAAATGACAAAGACTTGCGGTAACACGCGCTAATCCATATCCACGCAGTAAAAATGAAACGGTTTTCACACAGGGAAATCAAGGAATTCCGGCTTCAAACGGGAGATATAATGGGAAAGGTTTTAGGAAACTTTTAGGAAACACTTAGGAAACATTTTTAGGAAACTTTTGGGAAACAGAAAAGTTTCCCATTTTGCATCTCCCCAAACTAAATCCCTATTGTTATTCCCCAACTTTGACATATTTCCCTCCTTTCACAACATCAACAATTTTCATGATCTCCTTCAAAACACGATCCCTGATGGCCAACTGGCTATTGGAGACTCCCGTTTTTGGTTTTCAACCGCGCGACTGCTATCCAAGGAAGCGAAAGCCCAGGAGCCCTCGAATTTAGAAATCGAGCTAAATCCTGGCAGGAGAACATCACAACAAGAGATTGAAAGGTTTTGACATTCTTGGAATTCGTTTTCGATATACCATGGGCAATCTTAAAGTGGTTTTCTCTTCCTATCTCGTTTTGTACCAATACAATATATGGAGAAGGGATGTTCTATGATTAGCGTCCTCTAGTGTAATTGTATTCTATTCTTCATTTTTTGTTTATTTTAACAGTTGTTGTGAGGATGACAAGAAAAATTTCCTTTTGGGAAAATCATTTGATTTCTAGAGGTGCGATGCAAAATAGGAAACTTTTCTTGGCTCCCAAAAGTTTCCTAAAAGTTTCCCAAAAGTTTCCTAAAAAGTTTCCTAAAAGTCTCCCAAAAATTTCCCTTTTTTGCGGGTGCCCGTTTGTTGAAAATTTGGGTCTAATATGAGCGTTACTTCCGCCCGCGCGAAATCAAGTGGTCGCGTTAATCCGAAAACCTTGAATATCCGTTTTTGCCACACAGTCCAGGCCTAAAATTCACAGTGCGATAAACCTCCGATTTCTGATTGGATCTGCGATATGAAGGCATAGATGATGATATTAGAGGTGCTAGAAAGTCATTTCAAAAGTTTCAGAGGCAGCCATCGGTCGACATTATATCAAACAATCATTGTTACCTTGTTCAAAATCTGTCAAAATCTGTCAAAATCCTGGCTTAGGCCAGGATCATAGCGTATATCGTCTTGCTACGCTATGCATCAGGCCAGTGCTGTGTTGTAGGGACACATTATTGCAATCCTGTTGCTTTCTCCTCTTTTCTTTCTCTTCGTTGTCTTTTCTTTTTCTTCCTCTTCCCCCTTCTTTTCCCCGGGGGATCTAATATAAATAGTTGCACAAGTATACCGGTACAGTGGTACCCCTTTAACACCCCCTTAAGAGACAAATTTTGACGAGACACAAATTTTACGGTCTGTCTGTCACATATTCCAACGCTGAAGAGGAGGAGGTGTTGTGTTCTTTGGAACTAGATGCTTTGATGGTAACAGCACGCTTACTAACTGCTTGGCTTCCTACAAAAAGCTGCTTAGGAGGCATGGGATGTATAAAGCGGCCAGCGCAGCACAAGATCTAAAGTGTATGTTAAAGATTATGGCAGTTTTCTTATCAAACTGGTTCAATTGATGCAAATTTTCTTCTCCAAGGTGGCTCTGCCCCCCCAGATACCCCCTGCAAGGCTCCACCCTTGACCCGCTGGGGGCAGCAAACTACTAGTGAGACTGCCACTGCAGCCCATCTCTGTCACCTATTGATCACATACAAGCGAGGTGCAACACTGTTGCTCACTGTACTATTTGGGCTATGTGTCATACC